ATTTGTTTACATTAGTTAAATGCCTTATTTATTAAACTTTAATATTTGCCATGTATGTTTGATCAAATCATTATTATATTATAAAATTTACGTTTACTTAAATATTTAATTAACTTTGTTCATTCTATTTCAATTTAACGAAAAATATATTCTATCTATAATGATTATAATAATAGCTGATTTTTTTAAATACTGTATTTAAGGGAATAGAATATTCAATTACTTTTGTTCATTTATTTATTTATTTATGAATTTTTAATTAATTTTATTCCTCTTATTCATTGGCGTAAAATTTAATCAACTAATTAGCTTTTTTCTTTAATAAAAAAAAAAAAAAAAAAGTATTATTTATAATGATACATTGTCTTACTATCGTAGTATTGCATATTCTATTAATTATTGGCTAATTTTTATTAATTGTCTTACATTTGCATACTTTCAAAATTCAATTTTTTTTAAGGATTTATGAACTCTATGGAAATGGCGTTACATATAAATACTTTTTTGAGAAAATATTGTATAAACGCTTATCCAATAGGTATTTTGTTATTAATTTATCGTTGAAATAACTACAACGCCTGTACTAATAAACATCATGATACACTATACGGTAAAATTGTATATTTCTAAAATATGAAGAGTTCTTGGCACATAACTTTTAACGTTCATTTCCAGATTAAAAAACACTAAAAGTAATTTTCATATTTTTATGGATTAAAAGAAGCAAGAAAGGTGAATGATTGTCTCTAAAAATGTTCTATACATGAAATATCTGAATTTATATAAAATGATGAATTTCCTTAATAGAACTTGTACGTACGAAATACGCGTTACAGATTTAAACGAATGGAAAGTAAGTTATGTAAATGAGTGCAGTTAAATGAAATTTGGTATAAGAGTCGTAAAACGAAGCCATGCTGAAATCATGTACACCAAATATGTATCGGCATTATAAGATGCATTCGATTGGTCAAGTCGAGAAAGTTACGAACATATCAAGACAGCCGGTGGTTATGCCGCGAATTCTCGGACCCTTGTTTAAGTATTTCTAGTCTTGCTTATGCGTAAAATACGTACTCAATGCAGCACCAGAGAGCAATTTATGATCTTTCTGTGTACATTCAATATTTTTATTAATATCATTCAAATTTTTGACTGTACAATACTTGTTGGCAGTGGGGCGATATTGTATAAGACGCATTATGAAGACAAAATAAGAGACCATAACTTTATGATTGGATGAAATTTACTTGTAATCGCGTGATAGTGAAATTTCATAAAGAGATTGAACCTAAAGATGGCGAACTAGTTTGGCTAAATTCGTTCAAGCTCTAGACTTACTTTAAGCTATCCAGAGCAATACGATGCTGCTTACGAGTTGAGCTTTGGCTGTAAATTGAGATCCGAATTATCGTTTGATACGCTTAAGATTGTGCCACGCTGAAGTAACGTAGGTGTAATGTACGGATGTGCTTAGCAATTCAAAACATTAGGACATGAGGTAGTTGTGAGTGGGAGAACGGCGCGTTTAAAGAACGCGGAGATCATAAAGTTGTATGGGGAGAGGTGAGCGAAAAGGCGTTTGAGTCAGCTCGGGAATTAATCATTTTCTTTGAAGTTTGACTGGGCGAAGGCATTTGCTTTATCGAGCGTGTATCCGCTTCTACGAATGTAATTACGAATGTATAACAAGAAAAGCCGAGTTGGTGGGGATCGACTTGAAGGGGCTTACGCTACCAGTCTGATAATGTAACGACCGTAATATTTGTGAAACGATTATCAGCTTATAAGCTTGGGAAGCGATCAGGGCCAATGTATGCTTCTCATCCGCTTCTCTCACACTTCCAATTTCATTTGCCGCAAAATGTAAAAGAGACCGTACACATTAATTCATATCATTTATCATCCCCTAATAAAGGAAAATGTCCGATTGACTTTACAGAATGCTCAGAGCTTTCGAACTTAGATTATTATTCTGATTGACATGTTGAATTCGCATAATTTCATCTTCTTAAAAGTATCTAATGCGTTAGTGAAAGAAAAAAAAAATATGTCACGTACATACGCATATAATTAATTTTTATTAATTTTTATAATATAAATGGGTAAAAATTATTTATTAGCAAATGTAAATTGAACATATTATTTTTCATTGTTAATCTAACCCAATAATCGACTACAGTCGATAAATGCTCCATTCCAATGGCTTTGATGGTTTTAACATTTTATCCAGTATTTAATCGATGCTTTATTGAAAGTTAATATATATTTTTTATACTAAAATAAAATTTAATTTCATAAATTTATTTTAAGGATGATTCCTCTAAAATTTCCTCTACATTATATGCCTAATATAGCTTTAAATGATTATCCAAGTATAACGTGCAATTAATTTAAGCTGCTTAAAAGAAGATATATCACATTTCAGATGACGATTGCTTGAAGAAGAATTCGTCGTTTACAGTTATATTATTAGAATTAAGACAAGAAGACGAAATTTAATAAATAAATTAATTTCTACTTTTAAATTATAAAAGATTTCTATAAATTCTTTTTATGCTTTTATGTTCTATTTGTATTGTAATTAGTGATTAAATAATATCTGATTTAAATGAAAATATACTTAACTTAAAAGCATTAAATTTATTTTCAAAAAGATATGTCTTATTCATAAAAGATATGTCCAATCGTCAAACTTCAAAACTTATTTTAATAGCTTTTTCTAATTTTTTACGAAAACTTCATAATATGTAAAACAACAAAATTATGTTGAGTATTTGACTATTCAGAATAATATTGTTTCTCTTGATTTACCAATCAACAATAATAAATGAATTATAACATAGTATTTGATCCATTTTTTATTGCTGTAAAATTCTTTTCCAAATATATTAGTCAAATAAAAAACATTTATTTTAAGAATACATTATGCTGCACGTTTCAGAACCTTGAGACGGGTTACGGTAAATTCCTCCCGACGGTCGATGGTTGAAGATTACCATCCGTGTATATTTGGAAAACAAAGTCCTACAACAAATAATATCTTCTTATTGAGCATACACATTGTTTTGTAAATGAAATTGTTTTATAACACAAACAAATTATAAGATGCGTAATATATACTGTAAGAACTATTTTTCAACTTTGAGAATGACTGATTTCCACTGTTTTACATTCGAATGATTTATAATGATTAATACTACTCGTAAAAATTATGTAAAAAGTACATTTGAATTAGTCGGAAAAAAACTAAAAAGAAGATAAAGAAAATATATTTTTTTTGTATATGATGGAATTGTTTATAATTAAAATGTGCTTATAATGTTTAAAATTCTTATATCTCAGTAGAAATTTTACAAAATAATTTACAAGTATATTTACAATGTATTGGATTATTTAAATTTTAGGTCGATTATATTATAACTATCTTTGATTGAGAAATATAATATTCATGTGATTACATTATCGAATTTAATTAAAAGTATAGTATACAAAATTAAAAATAAAAATTATCCATATGTTTTTGATAAAATAAATAGGAGTTAGTTATTAATATATATAGAACTATAAATCGACATAATCATCGTAGAGTTGTCTTATTACGATATGTAAGATACACATAAGAATGGCAAAAATGTTATTATTTTAAAGAGTTATAGCGAATAAACGACAAATTAAACAAAACATACATAATAATACTTTCACATCCCTTGTGATGCTGATAGTGAAGTTTGTGGTTGAGACTCCCTTAATGTTGGAATTTACTTTCTTAGGATTAAGAATGAAATAAAAATAATAAAATTCGTTCTATGATATAACAGGGAGATTGTGAGGGGGGAGGGGAGTTTCATGCTATTTCCAACAAAAATTTATCGACAGGCGGCGTCAAAAACATATTGTAATATGAAGATTCTTTAGTTGGAAGAAGGAGCATTCGTTGCGAAGACGGGAAGTCCCGGTTTCGATTCCCTTAAAACGCCTGTCCAATGAAACAGTCTGTCTGCTATATAATAATATTGAAAATACGTTATTTTTCTAGAAATTATAGAAATAGAATTTATTTAATTCATTACTCATTAGTTATAATAGATATCTTTATGATTTACACATTAAATATAGAGCGTATCGAATACAATAGATTTACAATTTTATAAGTATCCCGTATCTCTTGCAATAGACAGTCCGTCATTTTAGAATATACAGTGTATGCGTTTTTATCTTATTTTATTTTATAAAAAATAGGCCTTAAAGTACATTAAAAAAACTTGTGTAATATTGAAAATTTACAAATGTCATTAAAATTAGATGAAAGATCAAAAAATAGCATCGATGGATCATTATCTATGGATATTGTTTGTGAAATTCTATTTTTGAAAAAACAATTAGCATATTTATAAATAATTTACGTAGTAGATAATGCAATTCGCGACTTTAAAACAGTATAATAATTAATGTAAAATAGTAAAAGTCGATATTTTATTGAAACATGTAATTTAAGCTAAAATACGTAAATTCATCTTAGCTTTAAATTTTAATTTTTAAATCGTATATGTCGCATCAAACCATAACTAAGCCATAGAATTTTTTACTAAATTCATCAGAACGAGCAAACTTTTTTTTTTCGTTATATTTCATTTTATGTTTGTACATTTTATGTATGTAACAAGGTTTTACTTAAAAATCATATAATAAAATCTGATAATAATGACTATACTACCAAAGTCAATTGGTAGTAATTGGTAGTGGTTGCAAAACAAATTACAAATTTATTAGATAATAGGTTATATCCACGTGGAACTGGCTTATAATTGTAGCACTTTCTATCCTTACTACCATTTTACGTAAATAAAGGCTCCAATTTGTGTTACCCTCGTATTCTGGCTTTTCTTGTTTCTTTGTTCTTTTTAATTTTCTATAAAAGCCATAAAAGTTATAAAATAGAGAGAGAGACAGAGAGAGTGAATATAAAATACTAAAAGGAGATGTATGTGTTTGTGTAGTAGCTGGGAGCTTTCCTCGGCGAATTGGACATCCTTATCAGAACAGAACGCCACCAAAGCGCAAGAAGCCGCGTACGAGCTTCACGCGCTTGCAAATTGCCGAGCTCGAGAAGCGCTTTCACAAGCAAAAATACCTCGCCTCGGCGGAACGAGCAGCCCTCGCCAAATCCCTCAAGATGACCGACGCCCAGGTGAAGACGTGGTTTCAGAACCGACGCACCAAGTGGAGGTGCGTATAAATTAGAGCATTTCTTACTCGAAATTCAATAAGATTTTTCAGACTGGATGCGAGTGTTGTTATACTTGTAGTCACTTTATCTTTCTCAACTCAATAATTTATTCGATAAGTACATAGAAATCGGCTGGTTTCTCCGGGTTTCTTAAGTCGAACTAAATTCTTTTTTTAACAGGAGTCAATGGAACGGATTCGAATCGATGAACAGCATAATAATAATAATATCTGACTGCTACGTTCCTATGCATTATTACTATTTATAAAAATACTGATTTTTATTTGCATAGGGAAGCGTTGATCATACAATTTCGATCTTTAAAATTTCTTTGATTATTATGAATCATATATTATTATCAATTTTAAAAATGAAAGTAAAAAGTACAAGTAAAAAATATTAAAAACTATTCACATATTATTTTGAGGCTTTTAAATTCGGTACAATGAATTTGATTCTTTCATTTTATTTATGATATATTCAACAAACATAAAAAGTACTTATTACTTTAAGCACAAAAACATTTTTCAGACTTCCATATTCATTGATAAAACTGAGAATTATTGCATGAATTGATTTGATAGATGACATTCGGTAAATGCCTATCAGCATCCATGAAACCATAATAACTTATTTTACGAGCTTATATTAGCATAGTGATTTTAAAAATGATAAAAAAGGATCGATAGCTTAATTCGGTAGGCCATATTTTTCTTTACATATATTCTCATTGTAACCATTATAAGTATTGTAAAAAATAAATTAGAGATCTAATTTGCCAATGGCTACTCTTATCTAAGCATTATTTAAAGAACGAATTGAAATAAACATAAGAAGTTTAGAAAAAATTGTAATCAAATAATAGTCGAAAATATATTACATCAGTATTAGTTATAGAAATAATTGTGATAATTATTTATAAAAATTATTATAAAAATTCGCGCAAAGTATTTTATTTTAAATTAGGAATTATCCGTTCATCGGTTTCTATTACATAAAATTTTTTATATAATTTATTTTTATTTGAATCGTACTAGTTTATTGGTGTTTATTTCATATAATAAAATAATTTGAAAATCTTCAATATAACAAAGCTTTTGTTTATATAAATGAATGAATGAATTTCCCTTTTTGGCCAAAAAATGCTACAACAAAATACATAGATCGAAAATTAAAAAAAATAAGATAATTATTCTTTTTAGAATATTGAACATTAAGGATAATAAATTAATATGTCCTGGAAAGAAAAATTATCTCAGATTGCTTGCAATTATTAATTATACAACTGCTTCGTTAAATTCGCATTATTCGGTGGAAAAATCTTGTATTTCTACAACCATGCATTATTGTCAAAAGAATTAACATCAATGTTTATTGTACTTGGTATAATAATTATTTAAAATTTTCCATTCTCTATCGAGTAAAAATTTAATTCTTTAAATGATTTGCATTGTTATTTATTCTTTTGTATTATAAACATTTTCAATAGGTCAAAATACATTGAAAGTAAGCATAAATAGCATAATTAATAAGTTCAAGTTTAATGTATTATCAAATTATTATTATTTAATTTGCTATCGATATCGAGTGTTTACTCATATAAATCTAATTAAATATCTTAAGTTAAATAGTTTTTAATAAACATTAATCGTAATGTTTTATAAAATTGACATTTACAACGTTCATTTAATTTTGCACTTCCATAGAATATTATTAACAAATTAATTAATTCAGAGAAAAGTATAAAAAGACTAGAATATATAAATATTTATTTAAGCTTAATTTATTAATGAAAATTAATTTTCATTTTCAGTAAAAAAAAACTACTATCTTTAATCATAAATTTGTTATATCTATTAAATTAATAAGAAATCACGCTAACAACTTTATTATATAAATATGATTTTTAATTGATTTTAACTATATATATGTATATACAATATATATGTATATATATATATTTATATATATACATTTACAGGTCCAAAATAATATTAATTGCTGAATGTATTTGATAGTTACCCAATTCATTAGTAAAGTGAAGTATTTCATTGATATAGTCAACAATTAGATTGGATAGATCGTGATTATAAATTTGCTTTGAAGTTTCATAAAATGCCTGAAAAAAATTACTATAGATAAGTTACTATATTAGATATTCGTCATATTTGAATACATGTACATATTTAATGAATGTACAGCTTGACTTTCTCATCTTAAAACGACAAAATGTTTAATGCCGTCTTTTCGTTGTATAATGATAATTCGTTTCTATTGCTCAATTTAAAATAAATTGCTATAGAATAATCTTATTTTTACGAGTTAAATTTTATAGAAAACTATTAAATCAGACTAGTCGCAATTATTAAGTTTATTATTAATAATAAATTATTTTATACAGCCGGATATTTTATGATTATATATTTAAAAAATGTTACATAAGTATCTAGTAACGACAGTATTTCGTACAAATTATGATATTTCAATAGGATACTTAAGTAAAACTAGTAGCGTGAGATATTTTAATTAGATTTTGTTTTTATTTTCGTTGGAACATTCGGTAACGTGTATATCGATGTTTTTAGATATTGTCCATTATCTCGAAAGGATTATTTAATTCTGAAATAATGAAGTGAATTTGTGTTAATTCGAGTTATACAAAATATTATTGTAATTGAAATAAGGAAGCTGAGAAAGATGTTTAATAATTTCATTTTATTAAATATATTAATTGAATAAGTACTTTTTTCCTTTGTTAATTTAGAAGAAATTGATTAATCTATATAGATTCCAAAAAAAAAAAAAAAAATTTGTAATCAAAATTCTACTATAATCTTTCTTTTAATAAGCTATCAATCATTTAAATACAATATCGTGTTACATTTGTTCAACATTTTTTTTAAATTTTATTTTACTTACTCATAAAGCATACGTATGACAATTATTTAAGTAAAATTTTGTTTATACGTTGATTATTATGAATATCGAATATTTAATTACATTTGAAAGTCAGGTAGTATTGACATAAGAAATTTATCTTATCAATTTATTATGAAATTCTGTTTACCTAATGCATTATGAATGCTAAGAATATACGATTATAAAATTTTCAATTAAAAGAGTTTTATCAAAAATTTTAATTATATTGACAATTTATAAATTACAATATACAAATTAAGCTTTACATACATGCACTATATATAATGAGATCCGAAATTGACTAATATAATAATACTAAAGTATTTGCATTGGGAATCTATAATTCACAGCTTCAATTTTGAAACATTTATTTTAATTATTCTTGTCATTTGACAAATATTTTAACTTTAATGTTGTATATTA